TATGGCTGGACAAGGAATTGAACCCAGTATCTCAGTATCACTAGTCAGGTGCTCTACCATTATTCAGGTTGATATCCATTACATGTACAGTACTTATCATGCTTATATGCGTAAAAGGTATTAATCTATATCTCATTGACATTGTACTTGTACAGTGTATTATTTCTGTCCAGAATTAGTCTATGATTGTCAAAGATTTGCACAAATAGAACAATACAAAGGCGTTCTGACAGTTTCAATTTATAAATAAAATTAAAGTAATATACGCTATAACGTGCGCCATTTTAAAATACGGCTGGAAAATTATACATTTTGTTTACCAATAAAAGTTACGAAAATGCTGTAAATTACACCATTTAAATAAAATTTGTTATAAAGTTATCAAATTATAATTATTTATTATCCTGCAAGGAGAATAATGTCTATTTTTAAGTAAATCCACCACGTGACGCCGTCGCTACTTTTAGATTGATAAACAAACACGGCGACAAGAAAACGAGGTAAGCCCTTTGAGATACAACTCACTTTTGACATGGATGGCGTGTTACTATTAATATAACTTATCTTTAAATGTAATCAGTATCAACCATCTATACTCTGTTATAACGCATATTAACCTTTTATTAATAATCGTTGTCAACATGCAACGTGCCTCGTTGTCTATAATTTCCCGTGGACATACGTGTCTATATTTTGACCTACTGTTTACGCACTTCCTTTATCAATATTCATGAAAAGACTGAATTCTTGATTGCAGACATTGCTTTATTGTTCTGTTATTTCAACGAGTTTTATAGTTCAATTTTGTGGAAATATTATTTTTTCATTACACTTTATGTGTTTCAAATCATTTTGTTTCACATACAAATCGGCATCCATACGGCGTATATTACTTTAAAAAGCGTAACTGATTCTTCATGTTATTGCCTCTTTTTCTGTCCATCTTTACACATAATTTTTTCAAACACTTTAAAACAGAACATTATGGATAAAGCTTACCTATTTTTTCGTGTCACTATTAGAAGTGTTTGTCTAATATTATGCGCCCAATGTACAACTGCCGACTGGCTACTTTGAGGTTTTTTGATTTGACGCCAATATGAAACAAATATTTTTTCAATCTTGAACCCGATGCAAATTGACATAAAAAGTGAATACAGCACATGAACAGGTTTTTTAATTTCAAATGAGACAATTTGAAAAGAAGATGATCTTGTGAAACACTTATTAAGTTGATGAAAGCTCTATATGGACCAATATTAAAGTTTTCAAATGTATTTCAAAATCTAAGATCAAGAACTTGGATTAAAACAGGATAAAATTATTGCCTCTTTACCCCCTCCCTTTTAGCAGTAAAAAGTTATGGCGATCAGGGTTTCTGTTTTTCATTACGTAGTAGATCATACTCCAAGTTCTTAATTTAAACAACTTGGTACCTAAGGAAAATTCTCAAAAGAAATACAAATGATTCATGTGCAAGCACAGACACCTGACGTTACTTATTTTTTTTTCTTTAAATAAAAAATAGGATCTTTACCCCCTACCTAATATGTAACGTGTGAAAGCATCAATCAAATGTTCTATAGAGCAATTTATCTTATGTAATAGCATACATAAAGTTATTGATAAGATGTAGCTGTAGATCTGTAGCGTTATGGTTTTATATATCTGTTTTTGGCCATAACTATGGGCAGCGGAAAGGGCAAAAATTACCATAATGAGAAAACAAACAATTATTTTAATTTCAATGACCATAAAAACTTAACAAATGATATAAAATGCATAATCAACAGACGTTTTCGCAGAACAAATATACATTAAAGCAAAACCAACGACCACGTACGTAACAAACATATATGAATGCAAAACCAACAATCATCTTTACAGTACAAACGTACATAAAAACACGACAAGCGAAAAAAATTTAACAAACGTGCACGCGGTAAATCTCGTCTCACCGGCTCCCGACGGTCCCGGTTTTTGTTTTGTTTTGTTTTTTCTTGGCGATTTCCTTTCTGTCGGTGCATAGAAACTTTTCACACTTCTCAGGCACATTTCTATGTTTAAAAAAATTCATTAAATTTAATATACAAAACTTAAACAAAGCGTCGGCAATATCATCTGCCAAAACGTGGTAAATCTAGTACTCAGCTATAAATGCAAAAACCTCTGAAAGAAGGATACCGATGTTTTCGTAGAATCGCGGTTAAAAACAACAAACTGAGATATATTTTTTTTAAAATAAATGAAAACCCTTTTTTGAAATCAAATCATTTTGATATTATGCATTTTTAATTCTTATAAAATTTAAATGTTTATTAACTTTATTTTTTTATAAACACCACCAATTTTCACTGAAATACTAATTCCATCTTTTTGAGAAGAAATATCGTCTCAATATCTATATTTTTAATATCTTTAAAGATAAATGGACACAGATTTAAAGTTAATTTTATTTCAGGCAAAAAAAAACCATTAACTGGCCCAAACGTGAAAAACCTATTTCGTGGGGGGGGGGGGGGGGGGGGGGGGTAGTCTATGACTTCTATTGCCTGAAATCTATCAGTTTTCATACCCATTTCACACATATTCATGCTCACCAGGGCGGACAGCGTTTTCCAACGGGGGGTCCAAGGTAACTTTTTCTTGCTTTAGTATATATACTTTTTTAAACGTGTAAATTCCAAAATTCCAAGGGGGGGGTGACCCCCCCCCCTCTTGTCTGGATCCGCGCATGTATTTCATCTTAAAATTAATGAAACAAGATTTCCACTTTTCCCAAGTATTAAGAATAAAATTAAAATTTGTGAGAGTGCAAGGATGTGTCGATCAAACCCGTCTAAAAGTTTGAAGTTTCAATAACCTTTAGCTGAAATAAGATTTTTATTATATGTTTGTGTGAAATGCTATTAAAATAAGTCGCATCATTATACAGAAAATATTAATTTCAAATCTGTGTCCATGCACCTTTACTATCTACGACACCTTACGTCTCTCTGTATCGATGTCCGTTTTTGGTTTTCATATTCATAACGGAGTACTACATTTAACGCTTTTTTGGAAGGTGCTGCTGCTGATTCAGTAATAAATATGCAAATTTGTCGAAGTTTTTACATATTATTGAATTCATTTAAAAAGGAAATGTGCATGAGAAGTTTGAAGAATTTCTGTGCACCGACAATATAAAGAAATCGGGAAAAAAAACGGGACCGTCGGAAGCCGGGAGCCGGGAAGACTAGATTTACCGCGTGCACGTTTGTTAAATTTTTTTCGCTTGTCGTGTTTTTATGTACGTTTATACTGTAAAGATGATTGTTGGTTTTGCATTCATATATGTTTGTTACGCACGTGGTCGTTGGTTTTGCTTTAATGTATATTTGTTCAGCGAAAACGTCTGTTGATTATGCATTGTATCATTTGTTAAGTTTTTATGGTTATTGAAATAAAAATAATTGTTTGTTTTCTCATTAAGGTAATTTTTGCCCTTTCCGCTGCCCATACATAACGCTACAGATCCTGTGATGCAAGAAAAGGTGTATGCAATTTACGGCGCAATATGTTTTGCGCGCTTTTGGGGGAAATTACCCACTTTCAAGCATTGGTCAATCAACCACCTTTCACTCTCAATTCTAGACACATTCTGTAGCCAATATACACCTCCCAACCCTTTATACTCGTCTCTACAAGTGATAAACTCGCTTGATTAAAATTATTTGTCATATTGCAGAAAATTCACTTCTAATGACTCTTAGTTATTGCCTGAAGAGACAACTATAAATGGTTGAAAGGTGGTTAAAAAAAACAGAGGCATAGTGACAAATTTAAAAGGGGGAGGGGGCTCTAGTCCAGAAATTCTTTGACAAGAAAAAAAAATTGAAAGTTCCCCAAACTCAAAAATTCTATTTCGTGGGGGGGGGGGGGGGGGGGGGGGAGTCCAGAAATTCTTTGACAAGCAAAATAAAAAAAATAAAAAAGAAAGGGAAGTTCACCAAACTCGAAAATCCCCATTTCGTGGTGGTTGGGGGGAGGTAGCCAACTTTTACTTCAAAGGCTTTGTTCTTCGTTAAAAAGTGGGGGGGGGGCGCACAGACATACTCTTGCCCCCCAGATCCGAAAGTGGGGGGGGGGGTAGTGCCCCGGCTGCACCCCTGTGACTACGCCTTTGAAAAAAAGACAAATATATAAAATCATAACGCTACAGATCTGCAGCTAGATGAGATGTTGACCATTCGTTCAATTAAAAGAAAATGTCTGCTTTGAGAGTTTATTTTATCGCAATTTTAGCATATCTCTAATTGTACATGGGCGTAGGAACGGGGGGGGGGGCAGGGGGGCACCCCCACCACTTTTTTTCCCAACCTTGCTGTTACTATAGGAAATGTTAATTGAAAACCTGGTTGTTGCCTCCCCCTTTTAGACTTTTTAAGTTATGTACCAAAAATGAAGCATTAGAAATGGTACGGAAAGTAGTTGACACTGAGAAAAAGCCCCCCCCCCCCCCCCCCGAAATATGATTTCTTACTTTGGGCAAACTTTTTTTTTTGCTCGTCAACTTTTGCAGGTGAGTAAAAAAAAATTCTCTAGCTGCTCCCCCCTCCCACTTTCAAAAACGATGCTACACCACTGTTGCATGAAGTCACCCGTCGTTAAAACTTAGAAAAACCTGATCTGAAAATACAAGGTACACGTGTATAGTTCATATCATAATAAACGTCTACAAAATTAAGGGAGAAAATATTTTTAAAGACTTTTCGTATAGACAAAAATATGATGGATATATACAAAACTGGAAAAAAAATAGACAGGATGACTCTAAAGTTCATTTTCATGGGTTTAAAGACCATATACGATAACTATTGTTAAAAACACCCCTTAATTTTATTTTAGTCGTACTCTCTTAGGTTGATATTTAGGTAGCTGAGGTATTTAAATCATGTGACCTGGTAACAGGTAAATATTAGAACAAAGACCAGGAAGTGAATTCTAATGTCTAGGGATTATCAGGGAGGCCATGTTGGATTAGAGGTGAGGCTATATTATATTAAGAAATTTAACTTGCTGCAAAACATTTCCAGATATCATTATTGATCTCAAGTCTAGTACAATAGTACGTATAATACATAAGATAAATTGCATGAGAGGGCAACTTTAGATAGATTAGATAAATTATATTTATTAACTACATGAACTGTTTTGACTGTTATCTAAATTTTTTTCCTGATTTTTTAAATCAAAAATAAGAAAAGTTTACATGCCAACACGCCAATACGCTACAAATAGATCCTTCCTGTTATTTCTAAACCTACACTGTCTAACAATTTCTCTAACAAAACAACTCATATATTGTATTTATTCAAAATTGTTTAATATTTCTGTAGTCAGTCCCCAATTAAGCCCCCAGTGATGGCCCCCCTGGACAGAGCTCAAGTACTCCTCCTCTGTGACCTGTGTCAAACAGCTGCATTACAAGTCATTGTGAACTTTGTCAGATTAACCTGTGTAAGGCTTGTGTAGGGGAGCATCTGTCTGATTCATCTAAAAGACACAAAGTTGTTCCATACAAACACAGAACTACTACTCCTAACCTTAACTATTCAAAATGTCCAAACCACACCGAGAAACATTGTGAACTTTACTGTAAGAAATGTGACATTCCTGTCTGTTCTACCTGCATCTCCTCGGGTAAACATCATGGTCATGAATTAAAAGATATCTTGCAGAAACCAAGCTTTATGAAAGAAATTTTTAAAATTGAAAGAACTAGAAAAAAGAATATTACCTACTTATGAAGAAATTTCATAAATTACACTCTGAAAAAGTAAATTGGAAAGCTTTGAGAAACTGACATCAGCTGTCACCAAACAAGGAGAAACTGGCACAGAGAAATTAACATCATTGTCAACAAACAGAAATCTGAAATTAATGAGATGAAAACTAAACACCTGACTGCTCTAAATAAACATGAAAAAGGAATCAAACAGATTACTTCTGATGAAAAAAAAAAGCATACATTTCGGAGGAAAATACTGGACTCCAATGATGTCTCCCTAACCTCTGGGTACAAATCTAGAAATGCTGAATTCAGAAGTTTACCTCCTAAAGTCAATGTGTCATTACCAAGTTATTCCCCCATCAGATCAACACAGAACAGCTCCATAAAATGTTTGGTTCTCTGTCAGTATTATCCATTACAATGAACGAACGTGGCTACACAATGAAGGCATCAGAAGCTGTACCCTGTCCTCCAGTCAAACCATTACTTGATGAACCAGAGATCATTACCACCATAGACACTGGGTATAACCTATACAGTGTTACTTGTATCAATGATGATGAAATATGGACACTTGGGTTTGACAATAGTATGAAACTTTACAACCTCCAGGGCAAACTACTGAAGTCAATCCAAACCAAGTCTGGGAATGAGCCACGTGACATAGCTGTAACAAGGAGTGGTGATCTAGTTTATACCGACCCTAATACAAGAACTGTAAACAAAGTCAAAATTACACAGATACAAGAAATGATCAGACTTCAGGGATGGAAACCTTATTATGTCTGTAGTACCTCCTCTGGTGACCTCCTGGTTACCATGGTCAGTGATGATAAACAATCAAAAGTTGTCTGTTACTCTGGCTCCACAGAAAAACAAACCATTCAGTTTGATAGTGAAGGTAAACCTCTGTATTCCTCTGGTTACGTATACAGTAAATACATCAGTGAGAATAAAAACATGGATATCTGTGTCGCTGACCTTGGATCCAGTGCAGTAGTGGTGGTCAATAGGCAGGAAAACTCCGTTTTAGTTACACTGGTCATCCCTCTACTACCAAGGGATCATTTAATCCAGTTGACATCACAACAACAGCCAGAGTAGATCCTACAGCAGACAGTGGTAACAACTTATCCACATCCTAAACAGGATGGACATTTCCTCCTTTCATTGATAATGTGGGTTCAAAACCATGGGGTTTATGTGTAGACACCAGAGACAACCTCTTTGTGACCGAGTTGGCCAGTGGTAAAGTGAAGAAAATCAAATACATGTAAAACATTGTATTTTAAATAATGACTTATTTGTGGGGGAGAGACTATATTTTTCCAAAATCACAAGAATACATGTATGTAGTTTGATTCAGGTTCACTTTCTCGTGTTCATATGTTTGGGTAAAATAATTTAAAAAAATAATATCATCAATAAGGTATAAAATATAAATTATAATTCATAAACAATTTTGAAACGACTGCTCAATAAAAACCCAACATTAGAAGAAACTTTCAATATCTCATGAAAATATACTATTTCCTGTGATTTCATCAATTTTCGTTGCCATCATGGATTTTGTAAAAAAGCGTTTTTAAGGATACACAATTTTGAGGACTAAATCATTGCCTATACAAATAAATATTGTATTTCTCAATTGAAAAAACATTGAATTTTGTGGATCTGCTCAACAACAAATTCCTCAAAAATTGGTGCTCAAAAAAAATTGATAAAACCACAGTACATTTGTGAGCATGACAAAGAAAAAATATTATTCTGTACATTTTTTTCAATTTGACCCTCTAGCTATTATGCACTGCACACTGTGGAGTTCTGATTATACTGGACTAGATTAATATGCCCTTTGATCTAAAATAAATCTAAATCCTTTTAATCTATAGTTATATGTTACTTAAAATAAAATAATTAAACACTTTATTAGAATTTTTTCTTGGACACATTGGACACAAAATAACGCAGGGTTTGACTGTGTATGTAATCCCAAAACAATCACAAGATATCTGATTCAGAAACTTTTCATCGTAGATGTTTTCATTTTATTTTTAATTCATATACATTTTGAATTACATGGAAAAATAATTTCAACAGATATTAAAAGGTCAAGTTCCATGCAATATCAGCTCAATAAATCCATAATTATAGTCAATAGAACTTAGCATTAAAAAGTCATATCAAATTTTATAGACAACAATCATTTCACTATAGCGAGCCACCTGTGCTTGTTTTTGCTCCCCGTGTTGACCTCAGTAGTCCTTATCTCCTTATGAGGGCCTCCACAAAGCTGTAGTGGGTCCTGGACTTACAGTATTCCTAAACAAAAAATGGTTTATATACATGTAAATCCAAAGACATTTTTCATAATAAAGTGATGAATTAAGCATAGCTCAATAACAGTACATTGTATTTCTCAATTTGAAAGTATTCAGTATTATAAAATGCCATTTGGATTAATTGTACTGTTATCATATGGCATAAAATCTGCTCATTCTAAAGTCCCATAGGATGAGCAAATATCCATTAATCATCTAATCTCATCATCTAAAGCTGGCTGGAGGAAAGGGATGAACAAAACAAGTATACTTTTTATTTATGGTTATGGGAGGGATGAGATAAATGTGAACCATGGGAGGATAGATAAACCACTTTTAAGGTGGAGATTATATCTTTAAAATGGGCCAGGGGAAAGGGTTTTGGGTGAAATAATTGTCTGTGGGTGAAAGGTCAACTACGGTGGTGGTTGGACTGAAAAAGGGGGCCGGGGGATGAATCATTCATCTTTTTTTAAAAGTTGACTGTGAGAGAGATATGAATTAATTTTTTTTTTTTTTTTATATAATTTTTTGTTCATCTTTTTAGATTAAACTCAGGTGACCTATTGCCATCTGTTTTATCTGTCGTCGTGCGTCGTTCGTCGTGTTAACATTTGAACATTTTTAGCTTCTTTCTGCAACCACTGAACCAATTTCAAAAAATTTGGCACAAAGCATCCTTTGGTAAAGGCAAACAAAAATTGTGAATTTCATATCCCCACCCCCCGTGGCCTGGGGGTGGGGGCCAAAACCCCTAAAATTAATGCAATTTTTAAAAAACTTTTTATTCTGGACATCAAGCAGTCAAACGTACTGTTTGCATGATTGTAATCAGCATTTAGTCCTTCACCAAAAATTTTGAAATGCATGGCCCTGGGGTCAGGGGTACTTGTGCTAGGGAGGGGCTAAATAAGTATATAGTGAAAATGCATTATTTCTTTGAAAATTTTTTCTTGGTCCCGGGTATTTAAAAATAAACTAATTGAGTACATAGTTATAATGAGCAAGAGTGCCTCTACCAAAATTGTGAATTTTATGGCCCCAGGGTCAGGGGGTTTTGGAGTTAGGGTGGGGCTCTATTGATTATATAGAGAAAAAACATGAATTCTTTGAAAATCTTCTTCTTTGCTCCTAGGTTTTAAAAAAACTAAGTACATAGTTATAATGAGCAAGAGGGCCTCTACCAAAATTGTGAATTTTATGGCCCCAGGGTCAGGGGTTCTGGTGTTAGGGCGGGGCTCTATTGATTATGTGGGGAAAAAACAAGAATTCTTTGAAAATCTTCTTCTCCTCCTACATTTTATATAAACTAACTAAGTACATAGTTATGATGAGCAAAAGGGGCCTCTACCAAAATTGTGAACATTATGGCCCCAGGGTCAGGGGTTCTGGTGTTAGGGGGGCTATATTGATTATACATGTATAGTGAAAAAAAAACATTAAATTTTGAATATTTTCTTCTTTGCACCTAGGTTTTAAGCAGATAAACTACCTATAATATGAGCAAGGGCCCTAATCTTCAAGATTTGTAAATTTCAAGGCCCCACGGTCACTTGTACCATAGAGGGGGTGGGGGGTGTACTTATATACTGAAAATGAATGAATTGTTTGAAATGTGCTCCTTGGTATTAATCAAATTTTTTTGAAAATCATGAATGCCTTTCCAAAAATTGTACAATGGTATAAGGCCTAAGAGTCAAGGGTTCATGTGTGGTAGCTGCACTCTCATTATTGCTGAATATTACTGATTTGTTGAAATGCATTTTTTTTCCCTTAACCTGTCTATGGTAACCAAACTAAGGAACTGCTAAGTGTATAGTTATGATGACCAAATTGTAAATGCTATAGCATCTGGCTTAAAACATAGATCAAATTCAATCACTGGAAAGTTGTTGAATAATGCCCAGGTGACCTATAAGGCCCATGGGCCCCTTGTTTCTCTACATTTGGAATATCTGTCCTTTCACTACCTGGTCTATCTTCTGTACCTTTTGGAGGTGTGAGTCATGTATAGCAGAGTTTGCTGTCTGTTTCAGTGTCATATCTTCACTGGTCACCCCCATCATAAGTTGTTTGTCAATTCCCATATCGAAAATAAATATAAAAATAATAGATTAAAATAATACAAAAAAAATACAAAAAAAGTATATTTTTAATGACCAAATTTGGAACCCTTTTTATCTTGGTTCCAAATTCAGTAAAAATAATACACTTTCTTTGAAATGAAACACAAAAAAATATATTTTTAATATACTTTATTTCTACAGTAAAAATACAAAAATAATACACTTGATGTATTTTTTCTGTATTAAATCCTTATCCAAAGTACAAAAATAATACAATTTACAGAAGAACTAAAAAATACAAAAATAATATAAAATGTATTAATTTTGTATCAGTCTATTATTTCTGTATTATTTGGAGCACCTTGAAAAAAAAATAGGAAAATAATACAAAATGTATTAATTTTGTATCGGTCTATTATTTCTGTATTATTTGGAAAACCTTGAAAAAAAATAGGAAAATAATACAAAATGTATTAATTTTGTATCCGTCTATTATTTCTGTATTATTTGGAGCACCTTGAAAAAAAAAATAGGAAAATAATACAAAATGTATTAATTTTGTAAGTCTAATTTCTGTATTATACAAAATGTAAAATAATAATGTATTAATTGTATCAGTCTATTATTTCTGTATTATTTGGAGCACCTTGAAAAAAAAAATAGGAATATAATACAAAATGTATTAATTTTGTATCAGTCTATTATTTCTGTATTATTTGGAGCACCTAGAAAAAAAAATAGGAAAATAATACAAAATGTATTAATTTTGTATCAGTCTATTATTTCTGTATTTTTTAAAACAAAAAATCTAAATATAATACATTCTGAAAGATACAAAAAAAAAAAATACATTTAGGAGTTCAAAAAAGGTACAAGAATGATAGACAAAAAGTACATAAAAAAGCTTTAAATAATACAAAGCAGTGCCTAGAAAAGTACTAAAAAAGGTGAAAAACTTCTTCCTTCTTAAATGCAGCTTTCAATCAGATTTTAAAGAGAAATCGTTTTACTTTAGATTACTGATTTAGTTACTTTTTGTGCAATAATATTGATCTTTTCTGTCTTACATACAGTATTCACTCTTCAATTGTCCTCATTTCTAAGTCATGTTTTATCAATCTTATTGTCTTTGAAAATTGTACATTTATAATGAGATATGAATTCAAAAGTCTAGATCTTCTCTGCTTTGGGGTTTCTTTTGCACAGCACTTTACTTTATTGAAAAAATACATCTCCAGTTTTCTCACTGTCATCCTGCTAGGTCCTGCATAATCTTAGACTACAAAATAGAATATCAAAATGCACTGGGGTATATCAAAAATAGATGCACAGACACACACAAAAAAGATATCTTCACATGATTAGCTGATATTGTCATTTGTCAATGTTACACACCTGTAATGCTTCAAGGGGTAGGGTGGGAGGTGGGGTTGGTGTCCTATTCCTCTATAACTAATCAGCTTTTCTTCTCTTGGCTCTGCAGAGGCACTCAAACTGTAAAAGTAATGATACTGATAAATGTTTTGCAGAACAGGTAGAAATACAGACCATTAAAAAATGAAAATATAAAACTGTCAATACACCTCATTGGAATTGGGGTGGGGGTGGGGGGGGGGTCATTTGATTTGAAATCTTAAACTGATATTGGGGAAGGGAAATATGGATCATCATAATTAGTTTGTGCCAAAAAAAATCTTTCTTACCACCTTCTTCTCAA